TTTGCCTATTTAGAATAATTTCTGGATCCGACTGTTTGTTACAATTCTTTTTCTTTATTCATTTATCCATTCAGATTCATATATTTCATTTATATGACTACAAAATTGTATTATGAGGCGGTTACACTATCTAAAATGATATGCACCTTTTCTTGTTAGTAATGTGAAGAACTAAACGTAGACAAAGTAATTGTGTTCAAAAATTTGAAACTTAAATTGTGTTTAAAATTATGTTGTTTCATCCAAACTCTAGGAGCAAAGTTCCAAATACAATTATTGAATTCTTCAAAATACGACAGGTGCTAACAAAAGTTCTACACGACATCTGTTAATGGTTGAAAACAACATGTATCAAGAAAACATATCAATTTTTGACCAATTTTTTTTGTGGTCAAAACTATTTTGACTATTTTTTACCAATTTTAGACGAATATTTATTTTCGTAATAAATTGGTCAAGAAAATATGATAAAATATAAAAATCAAAAATTGGTCAAAAAATTTCGACCAATTTTTAACGGATTCGTAAATTTGTCAAAAAATGGTCCAAAACTTGCGACAAAGAAGATTGATTGAAAATTGGTCAAGAAAACATGTTAATTTTTGACCAAATTTTTTACCAATAACTTGGTCAAAATGTTTGTTGACAAATTTTCGACCAAAAAATTATAAAAATTTAAACTCGACAAAATATGATCAAACTTTTTTTTGACTAATACAAGTGGTCAGTAAATAGTCAAAATATTCTTACCATTTATCGACTAAAACAAAATTTGGTCGAAATTTCGTGAGTAATTTTTGACGAATAAATACTTGACAGAAATTGGTCACAACATTATCGACCAAATATTGAGGAGAACACTTCTATTGTATATGTCCCATATCGCCAATATGGGAAGGATGAAACTTTGACTTTCTATATAAAATAACATGTACTCCATTGTGAAAAACGTAAATGGGTTTCATGGCCCAAATATTTAAATTTGAAATATTTTAATCGCTGATTGAGTGAATATTTTGAAATTATTATAAATCAAATATTTTAAATTTGAATTTTATATTTTCGAATATATTTTTTTGAAATATTTTAAATTTTAATTTTTTAAAAATATTTAATTTTATTTTAATTATTATGAATCAAATATTTTAAATTTCAATTTCAAATTTTTCGAATAGATCAAAATATAGTTCTAAAATTTAAATATCTAAGTTGGTCAAAAATTGGTTAGAATATATGGTCTAAAATTGGTCAAAATATATAGTTCCGACCATTTTGATTGATCAAACAATTTTGACGATTTTATTGGTCAWAATCAAAATTTTGAYCACTTTGTTGGTCAAAMMCAAAATTTTGACCATTTTTATTGGTCAAAACGTTTTAACTATTTTCTGACCAAATTCCATTTGCGACATCGATTTTGGTCAAGTATTAGTCAAAAATAGCTGTTTTTGACTAATTTTAGACCAAATTGATAGTCAAAATTGGAATGTTTTGTTGTAGTGTATGTGTATTGTCAATTGTGTGTTTAAGTTTTTATTTTCTGATAATTAATTGTGTGTGAAGTTTCTCTAAGTTTTATAAATTTTCATCTAATTAGCAGATTAACAATGTTTTTATATATTGATCTATATTAATTTTTGATTTGATATATTCTTGTTTCTAATATATCTCTTCAAATGATGATTTTTTTAATTATTTATCTCGTCGTTTTCATGTAAAGATTGATATCTTTTTTTTTTCTTCTTGTCCGGTTAATTTTGATGAAATCACTTTTGAATAATATCAACGTTTGGTTTGGATTGAGTAGTGTAATCGAACTCTAATAACATGTTACGTTTCATAAATTTTCAATTCATAACTAATTGGTAACTAGTAGACTAATCTGTATTTTTTATGTATCATTTAATTATATCCATGTCCATTTTTCTCAAAGGAACAAGCAAAACATGCTTTATTCAACTAATCTTTTTTTCAATATCCGAATTTTTATTCCACACATCGTGAACCAAATAAACTAAAATATGTGGGTCTCATAAGTAATAATTTCTTAAGATAATATTCGTTCCGTAATTTTTTTATAGTTTTTATTTTATTTTTCTACACAAATTAGTAAACAAAAATAGTGTAAGAAGAATTTTATCGGATGTTCTCGAAGAACCACCTCCTCTGCTCTCTCGGAGCGATCCAAAGGCGATCAACACGACCTTTTCACTTGGCTTTTCAGAGCCGTAATTAATTTTTCTTTTCTTTTCTGTTTTTAATAA